CTCTTGGCTCTTACACAGCTACACACAAGCCTATTTATAGGCTCTTTCAACTAAAAAATATGCACCCAACCGACTTAGAGTTGTGGCTCTCCTTTTTCTTATTTTGTTTATGCCACAACTAACTTATTTCATGTTTGTTCTAAACAAATCCATACACACTCTAGCTGCTCTCGTCCCTTCCAGTTAGTTCTGATATTTTGATGGTTTATTTTAATTAAACTTTATTTTTAATTTCAACGCATATATGAAAGGCCCCTAACCATTTTCCCTATTAATTTTAATGGGTTATATATCTTACATTTTAAGTCGTAATTTATTTTATTTTTTGCACAAATAAATCAAATAAACTGTGCTATTTAAAATGATATCCACTTTGATATATTTTTGGAATAAAAAATTGAGACATTTAGTATCAGTCTATACCATGACAATACTGCTTGCTACTATATAAGATGATTAAGATCATACCGCGTTGTACGGAAGTGTACCATGGTCGTATAAAATAATATAGTGTAGATAGTTGAAATACATGATAGTAGGAATATATTAACTTTTATTTACCACATTCATCATCGTGTACCACTAGTTAGCACCCCTATACGAGGGTGCTACATAGTGGTACGTTATAATTTGTAACTTTTCCAAGAAATTTGTAAATCTAATAGATCAAGAAGATTTCGTTTCATCTGTGCAAAATGTTTCAGAATTAGAGTTAAAAACGAAGGTGGTAAAGAGTGTTTTGAAATTTTTTTTGTCGAAATATGTTGAAAATGAATATCATTTTGTACAACGAACACGTTTCATCTGTGTAAATAAAAAAAATTTAATGTTTGATACAACGAACACGAACACGGATTCATGTGCATAACTGCTTAAAATCGTCAATTGGAACCCTATTACATTCCTATTTGAATTTGATGTGGTTTTAGAGTGTATTAGACGATATATGCGAATTAGGTACAAAACAAGGGGACACCCACAAGTGTAACAAGGGGGCAGAACACTGAAGATAGTGGTCAAGAAGTGAAGATCCCGACCAAGATCCTGGACCACGAAGTCAAGATGAAGATCGCGGCCTGAAAGCCCAAATTGAGGTCGCGAATTGGAGGGCTCCAACGCGCGAACTTCGCGAAGAAGGAGGCGAGGTGAAACAGAGAGTTTCCCCAGTCGAATCACGACCATAGTGCATTTTGACCGCGAGGAAGATCTTGGCCGCAACTCACGGATCGCGACTGCGAAGTCAGCCCACGATCTCCTCAATTTCGAAGGCAAGTATGACTGCGTTTCAAGAGCGCGACCTCGCCTCTAAAGATCCCGCCCGCAATCTCTACCCTTGTGGCCGCGAACTTGTCCGTCCTCTGATTGTCTATAAATAGGAGATCCCTTTCTCTCTTATAGATGAGTTGATTTTGCGAGAAGAAATTCTGGTTTTAGAGAGAGAGAGAGAGAGAGAGAGAATGTGAAGGGAGGAGAAGAAGAGAAGGAGCTATAAGAGAGGAGGCCTCTTCCTCAACCTAAAGTCTTCTTTTATTTCTTCTATATATTCTTTTCACACCTTTATGGAGTAGTCTCTAAGGTACTAGGGGTTCTAAACCCCAAACCCTAGTTTTAGAGTTTACTATGTATGTATGAATATTTTAGGTTTGAATAAATGAATGTTTATATAGTTGATTCTATTGCTATTCTATCTTTGATTATGTTTAGGTAAGTCGCCCTAATCTTCTCTATTAGCCTACTTTATGCTTCTACGTTGGGTATGGAGTTCTAGGTTTAGACGAGTATGCACCATCAAACAAATCGAGGTAGATGTATGAATAGGGACCTAGGGTGGTCGAGGCGACCGAACCCCTGCTATAGGTAGCCTTCCTAGATAGACCCGAGATAAAACCTTGGTGTGGACGATGGTTAGTATCCATTGAAAGGAGCTACAAGCTTAGTGCCCCAGATACGATAGCCTAGATTGAGGTAACTTTCTATGGGTATAGGGGAGGCGTACTCGGAGGTATGTGGATAACCACGAAAGCCACAGAAACAAGCTCACTCACCACATTCGATAACCCTAAGTATCTAAACATACCTAGTAGCCATAGGCTAGGGTGAGTGATAGTTCCCCGAAGTACCTGCTTTTAACTCTATTAAATCTCTAAACGAGCAATTCCCTCAAATCTTCCACTCAAACCTCCAAAATTGATTACTAATTAACAACGAGGTGGGAAGTAGGCTAGGGTACAAGGACCCGAGTAAAACACGACCTTAATTACCGCTATACGACAATGCTATCTTAGGTTAAACTTGGCTTAGGATGTGGTAGTTCTTGACACATGCTAACCATTGACAATAATATGCATGGACTCAAGTGATCAAAATCTCACCCCTTAGATATGAATTTTATGGGCCCACTCAAATCCAAAGATCCAGATTTAGTTATGGAAGGGTGCATAACCACTGTGCAACACTAAGCCAAACCCGACTATGGTGGGCAACAATTTGCTCCAGACCAAAGAGGAACAAGCCGATCAAATATAATACGGTTCGGTCCATGGTTCTATGAATTTTATAAATACTAAAGTAAAATGAGCCTAATTAATATTTTGACCGAACCACACTGGACAGATTGCAATGTTGGTCTAATCTTTGGTTCTATTTTTTTACTTTTGTAACGCGGTTCTCAATGTTTGGTATGATATGGTTCGAACATAACCATTGCACACCCTGATAGATTCATTCCATGCAGGTCATTGTCAGTAGTTTGCACGTATCAATAACTATCCCATTATTGGTCAAGTTTAACCTATAATGGCGTTGTCATGTAGTGGCAATCAAGGTCTTCTTTACTCGGATCCCGGTACCCTAGCCTACTTCCCACGTTGTGAGCGGGCAAATCGGGTTGTGGGTTCATCAGGTTTCGGGGGGGGGGGGGGGGGCGGGTTGTGAGCGAATCGGGTTGCGGGTTGTTCGGGACAACGCATCGAGTTACTTACTCCTTACTCTCTAGCAACTTACACATTTTATTACACAAATTTAAAATATTTTTCTCAATTTTTAACAAACTTATTTTTACCTCATATACATACTTAATTTTATTAAAAAAACTAGTGAAAATTTTGAATTAATTTGTATGATTTGCAAACTTGTATGTAATTAATCATAATTGGTAAAGTGCACTAGATAATAGGTAATGACGATATCAATGTTTGCAACCAATAGACACGATTAGCAAACCAAACAAAACACCACTCTAAAAACAAAGAAGAAAAACACTTTTTCTTATCTCAACATTTTGGGCGACAATATAGATTAATCCAAATAAAAATTAGGCGGCAATATAGATCAATCCAAATGAAAATTGGGTGGCCTTTTGGAGCAGGAATGAAGAAGTTGCGCGACAATATATATCAATTACAAAGAAAAATGGGCGGCAATGCAACGAGAAGCAAAATTGAGTAACAAAAAAAGACATGAATTATATATATAATAAATTACAAGCATAATCTCATTGAAGTATAAATTTTTTTTTTAACAAAAAAATATATATGAATCAAGGTTCATGAATTTTTTTTGCAAATCGTTGTCAATAAATTATCATAATTTATATCCATATGCAAAATCTAGGCAAAACACTAATATTATAAACAACAGTTTATGGGAGATGGAAATCAGGTTTACTATTAAAGGAATTGAAATGTTGGTGGGTCCAATTGGGAGAAATTTTCCCTCATCAAATTTTTATTTTGGTAGGGACAAATTGTAGAAGGAAAACAAAATGAGAAGAACGAAATGTGGGGAGGAAAACATTGGAGAAGTGAAAAGTTGGGATGAAGATATCAAAATGATAGGAGAAAAGTTTCCCACCTAAATGAAAATGAGGTGTTAGAATTAGCGAGTAAGATTAAGTTTCCAACCTAAATGTAAAATAATATGCATTTGAGATAGGATAATTTTTTACATGTTCTCAAATCTACTATATCAAATTAGTCATGCCTATAAGCTATAGTAAGGTTTGTTATAGACTATAAACAATATTTTAGTAACTAAATACTATACTCCTAAATCATTATATGTAAACATTGTGATAATTAATTAAACTAGTAAACCATCATATGTAAACATTGTGATAAGTTTTCTCTCTTCTTTCTCTTAAAAAAATGAAAATACAAAATTTTTCCTTATTTTTCTTTCCATAAATAAAAAATATTAAAATTTCCCACCCTTATCTCTTCGTATAAATCAAAAGCACCAAAACTTGAATCACCAAATTTTCCTATTCTTTTTTCTTCAAAAGTTGAAAAAATTAAAATTTCTCACTTCTTTCTCTTCTTATAAACCAAGTATCAAAATTCTCACTTTTTCCCCCCAAAACTTGAATCACCAAATTTCCCTCTTTTTTTATCTCCAAAAAGTTGAAAACGCCAATATTTCTCACTTCTTTTTCTTCCTATAAACCAAAACACCAAAAATCTCTATTCTTTCTTTTACCAAAAATTTAAACACCAATTTTTCTTTTTCCCCCCCAAAAGATTGAAAACACCAAATTTCCCACATATTTCTCTTCCTATAAATCAAAGTATCAAAATTCCCCTTATTTCTTTTTCTTCATTCTTTTATTAAATAAATATATAATTTCAACTCAATATCATTTTTTGAACTTTCCTTTATAAAATGAAAAAATAGTTTTACTTAGTGTTACAACAAACAAACTTCTTTTGAAATTTTATATAATATATAATATATATAGTAATTAGTTGGGTCAATCGTGCGGGTTATAGGTTAGTCGGATTTGGGTCAATGAAGCAGGCCGCAACCCGCAAGTGACGCAGTCGATACGTTTATCATGTACTGGCGGGTGGCGGCGCCGTTTATAGCACTGCGTGAGAGCATGTGAAAGCGGCAAACGCAATCTCTCTGTCTGATACTTGTATAGTACCTTGGCGGCCACCTGGTTGCCACCCACTGCTGACTGGTGAACTTTGCATACACATTTTTCTTCTGTAAGAAAGCTCGGTCAAAGTGGTGCTGCCAGGGTTCGCCACCCATTTCTTCTGCAGTACAATCCCCTGAATTTTTTTATAATCAAGATAATGGGCGGAAGAATCACAGAAACATTGCAAGTCGGAGTCAAGTTCGCAATGGCAGAACGGCACTGCTGGGTTCGCCACCGTCGCTGCTATGCATCCCCTCGACGTTGTCCGGACCAGGTTTCAAGGTACCACTTTTTGGGTTAAGAAATAAGAACCTAGGCACGCTCCTCCATGTTGCCTCTTTCTTCATTGTAATTGATCTTTGCTGCTTGTGACCCCACCCGTGCATTTTGGATGCAGTAAACGACGGCCGAGTAACCGGCTCGCATGGAGGTTTGTCTTTCCACAAAAATTTCTTTTGCTATCACTTTGTTTGATGTTGTAGTAGTTGGTTTCGCTTCATGGCTGGTGTTCAATTTGTTGGAACCATTTCGTTTGGTCCTGAACCCAAAACATATGACTTCCTTTGTGCTGTGAGAAATAGGAGTTGATTGAATATTTATGCAACAAGTTCCACTGTTGCAGGGCATTAGAGGGCTTTATGCAGGATTCTCTCCAGCGGTTCTTGGTTCCACAGTCGCATGGCATGGGGTCTATATTTCTTCTTGTAAGTTTCTCTTAGATTGCTGTGTTCAATTAAGCGGGGTCAAAATGCTGAATGAATATGTCTTTCACTGCCTGCATAGATCTGTTAGCCCACCCGATACATCATGCTAGTTACATCTGATTAAGTAGGGCAGAAGTTATTATTATGCCTCCTCTGAAGTTGATGTAGCCTTAAGTGACTAGGAGATAGTCTTACTTGAATAAGGTCTTCATACATATATTTTGTTTTTAAGGCTTACTTGGCTGATAGACAATGATGAACATGGAGGGTTTTCTTTTTCCAAAATCTGTTGTAGTTACAGCAGAGCTAAACAAAGATATTCAAAGGACAAGAATCAAAGTCTGACCCCTCTTCTTCATCTTGCATCGACGGCAGAAGCTGGAGGTTTGGTGAGTGCAAATTGAGATCAGGAAACTGGTGCATACTGTGTATAAGTAGCAGAACATATGCCCTTATTCAAGTAATGCTAGGTCTTAAGACACGGAAGATAAAAGGGGGGAAAAAAGGGCTCATGCATTTTTGTTGAAAAGTAAGTGGCAGGATGCCTAGTGTCATCAGGCTGTTCTTTCATGTCTTCTAAATACATATAATCTGCATTTGGTCTACGGGGGTTGATTACTAGATAAAATATGCTGAAATTTTCTGTATACTTATTCTGTTGTGTCTATCACGCTTTCATATGAGTATCCTTAATGGAGTTGATAAGCTAATGCATTTGTAGCGAGCAATTATATTCCCTTGTGCATCATTAACTGCAAAGTGGGGATATTGATACTGTACGTTACTGCATCAGGTTTCCTTGTGCACAAATCCTATCTGGCTGGTAAAGACAAGGTTCCAGTTGCAAACCCATCATCAATCTTCTCGGCCATATTCTGGACTTTATGGTTTGTCTAGTTTCTTTGATTTTCACAAGCTATCCACATTGCCTCTTAGTTATATCTGATCACATAAATTCAGTGCCAAAGTTAGCAACTGTTGTTAACTTCCAAATATTTGTTGCCGAAATTGGGTTACTACTCATCTGATATGAACTCAAATGATTTGAGCTATGTAAACATCTGACTTCAAGTCGAGCTCGTTCTGTCATTTGCCCCAGCTGTTTTGTTTTCTAGCTTGGGTGAACAATGATAATGACCAATGACTTTGTTTAGGTTCCGATTGGAAGACTGAGACTTCAAGTTCATTTCTATGCTACTCGGTTTGCATTAATTATGGTTGTGAACAATGTAGTCAAAATCGCGCTTTAAAACTTAAAAACTTACGATTTTACGCTTTTAGGTCACCAAAACGCTTTCGTTTCCATATAAAAACTTAAGTGTATAAAATCGGACTAAATTGCGCTTTAAAGCTTAAAAGCTTACAGTTTTACGCTTCTAGTTCACCAAAACGCTTTACGTTTTTACGCTTTTAGTTCACTAAATGAGTATTCTTTTCATGAAATTAATTATAAAAAGTATATTTTAAAAGTAAATCACCAACAATATGATACATTTGAGATTAAAAGATACATATCAGGTACTTGGATACATTCTCAACTTCAATAGAGTAATCTAACTCACCAGCTAGGCTTTTCTCAAATTCATTAGCATAGAGGGAAAAGTGGTTTATTGTTAAAATTTATATTTACGAACTTATTATTAAGATGCTATAAGTTGTTCTACTTTAGGCATGAATCGCATGTATTTATTAACTTATCTGTGCATTCATATTTTGCATAGCATATGTCCTACTTAATAGTTTTTTAGTTATTTTTTAGTATGCGTAAAAAACTTACGTTTTTACGCTTTGATTATACGCTTTACGATTTTATCCCTTTTCTGCTTCTAGTTAGAATCGCGTTTTTGACTGCATTGGTTGTGAAAATTTCTAGCATTCTGATATAGTCAGATCTAGACTAGCAGTAATATTTTGTTTTGTCGTTTTACGTGCTTCATGTTAACAACCCTAACACTTAAGTTTTTTACGCTTTGATTATACGCTTTACGATTTTATCCCTTTTCTGCTTCTAGTTAGAATCGCGTTTTTGACTGCATTGGTTGTGAAAATTTCTAGCATTCTGATATAGTCAGATCTAGACTAGCAGTAATATTTTGTTTTGTCGTTTTACGTGCTTCATGTTAACAACCCTAACACTTGTCATGGATTTTTACTTGTGATCAATATCAGATGCTTTTAAGACAATCACGAGAGAAGAAGGATGGAAGGCACTATATAGAGGACTTGGTCCTGGGCTTATTTTGGTGAGGGCTTGCTGCGGACTTATATACTTTTCTGTATTTCATTCTATTGTATTTGCTTAAACATCATGTAATGGTCTCAACTATCAAGACTCAAGAGATTGTTTCATTGGTTTATGATCAAGCAAGTTGTCAGCTTTTTAATTTCTTATGTTGGTTTTGTAAGCTTAATGAATCCTTTGCAACATCAAACTTGTTATGATATATTCAAGCAAAATCTAGTCACTCATTTGTTTAATAATGTATCTTCATGTTTTTTTTTCATTGCAATATGGTGATCGATGAGTTTGTTTTAAATTAGTGTAGTAACTAATTATTAAAAAAACTCGATGGTTTGGACCGAACAACCCGCAACCCGACCTGTTGTAACCCACAATCCGATCAACCCGTAACCCGATCGACCCGCAACCCGATCAACCCGTAACCCGTTCGACCCGCAATCCGATCGACCCGAACCCGATCAACCCGCAACCCGCTTGACCCGCAACCCGATTAACCCGCAACCCGACTGAACCCAACCCGAACCCGCCCGATTGACACCTATACTCATGAGTCATGCCCGGTAGTTTTCTGTTTGGGATTAATTTCCTCAACCTATTTCTCGATTTCCATATCAAAAGATCACCCGTTCACCTAATCTGCAGTGAAATGTGGAACGGATTTGCTGATTCAAAATCGTAAGAGAAGTATCAGATCCGATTCAAATCTTGACCAATAGGGGTCATGTTGAAGAAAACAGAATTTTCCTCCACAAGGGTCGCTTCTTGGCGCCATAGTTGGACCCATCACCATCGTCTCTGCCTTTCTCGACCAACGGGGACCAGTCGCAATATTTCGCTGTCAATTAACCGGGTCGCGGTAGAAGAATTAGCATGCTAAGTGTCTGGGGAGGATTGATTCAGCAGGCGGCCGAACGGGTTTGGAAGTCGGAAAGTCAGATAGCATAGCAGAGACGCCGATTACTTAGATCTAGAAGAGGGAAGTTCTGTGGAGGACAACCAGTGGAGCTACTTTGTAAGTCTCTAGCTCCAATAGTTCTTTCAGATAACCTTTTTGCATGCTGATTTTGTTTGGACTTCTCTTTATTGGAGGACGCATAGCATGAATGTTGACTGCACAACTCACATTTAGTTATTGGGTGTTGAATCTAGCTAATGCTAGCCGCTAGGTAGATTAGCTTGTTAGAGTTAGTCAATAGAGTTGTAATACGACATTGATGGGAGAAGTAAATTATAAATTCAACACTTATATACATCCAATACATTCTGATCCATAATAGCTATGTCAGGAACTGGTAGGTAAGAATCAAAATGTATTGGATGTATATAAGTGTTGAATTAATGATTGGATTGAAAATAATCGAATAAGTTACTAATCGATGCTTAAATCCTAAATGGAAATAATCAAACAAGTTAATCATGATTAGGCATATGGACAAAATCCCATAAGATCAACCTTGCTTCTTCTATATCAATACATTCTTCTTTATGTGCGATAATGCTGAGGATTCATATCCTTATATATTCACATAAAAAAAGATTACAGCTCCATAGTTCCCACCATTTATTTGGTATTCACCCCCTTGTCTCCTTTGAGATTAAATGGGATAGACATGGTGGATAAGGTAGATAGCTATGGTTATGTGCTTTTGGAATCTTTAGATTATTTGTTTAGCGTGATTATATATGATCGATCACCAAGTTTGCTGAAAGGAGCTGTTGTTGCTGCATCACTTTCATCAGTGAGGGAAATTGGTTAGAATAGATAAGACCTGATGGTTGTGCCTAGTATGCTACTCTAAATTGTTCAGTAAAAACTTAATTGGAATGGAACAATAAGGACATGTTGCTCTGGTGCTGCATTTGCTGTATCCCAACTTGGTAGATGAGTTGAATGATGATAGGATTATTTTGTATGCTGTAAATGTAACTCCGATGACCTGAATCTCAGCATCTATAATGATTCTTCTCCCCTAATACGCTGGTTTGCAAGGTAAGCGCAGCTATAAGGACACACGTATCCAAGATGTAATGTTGACAATACTCCTGTTAAAGAGGAAAATAGTATGCGAGTATGTGATCCTTTAATTCTGCTTATAGTGATGAATGAATGTGAAATGGGAGGCACTAAGGTCGATTATGACATCATTTACTCTCAGTAGAGGCCTCTAAAGTAAAAGGATAGTGGTCATCCATAACACAGTATTTTGTAGATGGCTACCAATTGAGTTGTTCATGAATCCATTAAGGTCATGTGTCATTTTTTGTACTGCTCTCGACTACATCGGCTGAAAAACTTATCCATGAGGATGATCAGACGACAGATCCCTTGAGTAAAAGCTGAAACAATGGAGGAAAATAGAGAAAAAGTAGCACAAAAAAGGAACAGAGAAGAACCGGAGCCAGATTTAAGTAGTAGGAGAAGAAAACACAGAATTGATATTTCCTTTCCAGTCAAGTTGGTGGCCGATGCAAACAAAGCCTCTAGAAATTTGAAACGCCGCAGCGAAGCGCGGCACACAACACCCCCTAGTTACTTGTTAAACATGCAATGATATTCCACTCATGCCCATTTCCTTTGTGAGTTAGCCTATCGTAAAAAAATAAAGAAAGAAGAGGTGATTACCTTGGCTAACTAGCTAGTCGGCTCCCTGGTCAATGCAGAATCTATCTAATTCCTTTGTAATCCAAACCAATGGTCGATGGTATAGGGCGGTGGTGGTGGTAGGATGATGAAGAGGAACACAACTAATCTCTCTTCTCTCTCGGTCCCCAAGGAAAGGATTGAAAGAAAACAAAATACATTCCTCCCTCTTCTCTAGTCCCATAAGCACTACTTTGGAGACAAATTAAGCCTCCGTGTTGCCCTTTAGTAAAAGAGAGGCGTGAGAGCTTACAAGTGTGTGTGTGCATGGAGATAAGTGGATAAGAGGTGGCATTACTCATTTATTGTCTCTCTATGTTTTCCCCACCCACTCCATAACCATCCATCAGCCTACTCTCTTTATTCATTAGTTCATCACCCAATAATTATTATGTCTATTACATGTGTTGTTTGTTTGAGAAAAAGTGACAATTCATCACACGTAAGGAACATAGAGATAGTTAAAAGAGGACAAATAAATGGCTGACCCTTCATTTGGTCTAGTATTTCAGTGGAGAGGGTTACAACTCCAAATGGGTTTTTTTTTTTTTTCCCC